AATAATGGTACCCCTTTAACCAACCTTCTTTCCCACGACGCTGTAATCTCCCGGCAGAGTATTTGGTTGGAAAGTTCTGGTCGTCATTAAATCTGAAAAACGGTGAAAACATTTCGTTATCTCCGCCAAACAACTTTTCGTGCAAGCTGTTAAAATTTAAGCAGCAGTCGTGTGTTATTGCAGTGCCGCTTCGTATCCTAGCAACAGGCAGTAAGCCGTAATGCGTTTCTTCCAGTCCAGCAGGGGGCGGTTTACGACAGACTGAGCGTCGATTATCAAAGAGTATTCGCATAGACAAGATAATACTCCGCCATTAGGTAAAATATATTCATTGTGCCTTTTCAATACGCAACAACAAAATTACATATAAGTTTCTTCTTATTGTTTTTTTTCAGCTAATGCGAAAAAGACAAAAACATTGCCCCAGCAGGATCAGATAATTGATACTCGACGTCCCGTTGAATCAGCGCTTTAAGACACGAACACGGAAGTAAGAGGGAAGCTCCCTCTTKTTTCGGTGTCGTCCTTCGTTTGTTTCTGATGAACCTTCAACATCAGTGTCGTGCACACCAGATGTCCCTGGTTTCATTTTCATATGGACGCTACAATGCCGAGTCAAGGGTAGAACCAGTCAAGAGCGACAAGTAAAGGTAAGGGCTGTGTTGTGTCTGTAGTTTACCCTGACTGCTCGTCGGTGCACGCGAGAAGCTACTGAAGTGTGAACTCTTTCTTAGTCTGAGCTTTTCAAAAAGAATAAAATAAAATAAATAAAATAGATTCTGCACATGATAATGTCTGACATTCCATGCAGGACATCTCATCCACCATGGGGAACAGATCATCAAAGGCTATCAGTGGAGAGGAACCAGTTAAAACAACTTTATTTGAAAGGGAGCCCAGTGGGATAACATACAGGATTCCTGCTCTCCTCTACCTGAGGCACTGTCACACCTTCCTCGCCTTTGCTGAGAAAAGGACATCATCTTGTGACCAYGACGCCAAGATTCTGGTTATGAGAAGAGGACTGCTGAAAGATGATGGATCTGTTCAGGTTAGTTATTCTAGCTCTATGTCAACAGATGGCAGAGGCACTAACAGTAGAGTATGATTGCACAACATACTGATTCAACTTTGAATTTACTGTAGTTTTTCTCTAATCCGACATGGTCAAAATTTTGCATAAATGCTCAAATAATACACCTACTAATTTTAATCTAATATAGTTTGCATACTTCTGGGTGTTGGAATTGCGTCATCTTTTTGTGATAATTTTATTAGTCCACTGTTAAATTCCCTCCCTTTTGTTCAGAAAGCATCCATAAAGAGGCTCGCACAATTAAATAAATAACTATATTTTTAATTTTTTTAAATTTTTGTCGGAGAAGTACTTAGCATTACGAGCGCTGCAGGCGTGCGGTTTCACCAGGTGTTCGTTTGCTAGTTGTTGCTGCTGATAGCCCGCAGGAGCCGCGGGGGAGGCGTGCTCTGTGATGCAGAAGCTCGGCTTAGAGACACACCCCAGAGGAGGAGCTGCACCTGAAAGGCGGTCCCAGGCCCAACTGGTCGTTTTTGTTCTCCTTCATGCATGAATGAGCCAAAATCAAAACTCTGGGCATGTTTTTGATGAGAGGATAATGTTACAACATGGTATAAAGCTAAAAAAAAGTAGATTTTACATGTGATTGCCCCTTTAAAGAATAGGTAACAAATTTTGGCCTTTTTTTTATCTATTCAGAAACTCATTTTGTTGTGTTTGATATCACTGTCTTGTTGGAACATCCAGTTGTATCTAAGTTTTATGCTGATTTTAAATATAGCCCTTTTCCTTTTTGATTCTGTCTACTTTGTGCAATACACCTGAACCACATTATAATGCCACCACCACCATGTTTGATAGCCTCACTTTGACTGCTCCAAACATACGAACAGTCAGCACCTCTCATAAAATAATAAGTATTTGTATTATTTATGAGCCTGTATGTATAAATTTTGACCCTGTGTGGATTTATTTTTTTCATAATTGAATGTGTATATTATATATTTGCTCCACCCTGGTGAAAGAATAACTCATTCCATCATGAGTCATTCTGAACATCTAACTGCAACACTGAGCCTTGGCTTTATTACAAACGCCTGTAAGCATTACATTATTTTTTTAATGTTGTCTTTTACCTCCAGTGGTCATCCAGTGAGGAACTTTCAATGGCGTGTCTTCCAAATTACCGCACCATGAACCCCTGCCCGGTGTACGAGAAAAACAGCAAAACCCTGTTTCTTTTTTTCATCTGTATTTTGGGAAACACCACAGAGATAAAGCAGATCGTCACAGGTAAGAACAGGGCCTGTCTTTGCTACGTTAGCAGCAGTGACGACGGGCGAACTTGGAGCAATGTTACGGACCTAACGGAGGGCGTGATTGGGGACGCTGTCCACAAATGGGCCACATTCGCTGTGGGCCCCGGCCACGGCGTTCAGCTGGAGGGGGGCAGGCTGATCGTCCCTGCGTATGCCTATTACATCCCCTACAGGTGCTGCTCCTTCCCCGTTCCCTTTACAGTGTACCCACGCTCATTCACGGTTTACAGTGAGGACTTTGGGAAAACGTGGCGGGTCGGCAAGATGCTCCAAAAGAAGTCTTGCGAATGCGAGATGGCAGAGATCATAGACCACGAGGGCAGGAGCCATCTTTACTGCAACGCTCGTCACAGCGGGGGTCACAGGTGCGAGGCCCTGAGCGAGAACAGCGGGGTCTACTTCGACAAGCCCCACGTGGCCTCTGAGCTCGTGGAACAACCCTCCGGCTGTCAGGGCAGCGTCGTCGGCTTCCCCGCCCCCGAATTCGTCCCCAACGACGACGCGGAAAGCAAGGCGTGCGGCACGTCCCTGTTGTCGCCGGACACGCAAACCTGGCTCCTCTTCACACACCCGACCAACAAGTCCAGTCGAAGGGACATGGGGGTGTACTTGAACCGGTCGCCCCTGCACTCGTCCGGATGGGACAGGCCCAGGATCATCCACAGGGGTCCCAGCGGGTACTCAGACCTGGCCTACAATGTGGACAAAGATCAGTTTTCCTGCCTGATGGAATGCGGGAAAGAAAGTGAAATAGAGCAGATTGCGTTCACCACGTTCTCTCTCAACGATGTCATGCAGACAGGCAGCCGGAAAGACAAGAAGACCCTCTGATTTGTGGTTGCTTTAATATTCAAATTGCCCCTCAAGAATCCAAGCGAATCCCACCCTTAGTCTGCTGTGCAGTCACATCCATCTGTGTTCATTATTGTTCCACGTTCTGGAGATGGTAATGCATGCATGAGTCATGTGTTTTATTGTCTCATCGTTCACAAGAATAAATTAAGTACATATTATGCAAGTGTCTATATTAAAAAAGAAACTATTTTTAGAKGTTAGATGGTTGATTTTAAGCATGCTGTGTTGGATAGTCATTTTATTTTTTACACCAGGCTTTGAGCGTGGCTCGTTTGATTAGCACTTCACAGGCGTTTCCATATCTTATTGAACTGTCAGTCTTTTCTGAGCGGCGAAGCRAATCAGCCTACCTCTTTATTTTCATCGTACAGGCCTTTTAAAGTAGAGTGCAGAGTTCCCTCCTCTTTTTCTTTTTTGGCGTTTTGTGTCCTCTACTCCACGTATGCCTTCGTACACAGGCTGCTGTCGGTGCAAAAGCCTGCACAGGTCGCATCGAGTGCCATAAATCAATCAATAAAACTAGTGAAGAAAGGTACGCTTTCCTTTAAACCTTCAGCTTATAATGCTCAAACTGATCCATATCTTGGAGCTTTGAAAGCAGCTCACGGTTTAAAAACCAGCACTGAGAGTAAAGCACGATGCTGTAAGGTCAATTCTAAAGGGCTTTGTTTGCCAGGTTAAAGATTTTGGATCTGACTCTGGAATTTAAAGGGGGGTGTTGGAGGGAAGCTATAATCAGAGATATGTACTCTCTTGTGAGTTAGAATTCTTGGTGCTGTGATTTAGATCAGCATTTAGTGGTCATTCTGCACATATCATGTCATCACCACGATTAAAACGTTTTCTGGTTTTACCAGTGTTGCACAGACGAAGACTTGTTAATATTTATTATTTTTAAAGTTAAAAGTATGTGGTAGTAAAAAAAGATAAAAGAATACCAGTCAGATTAGTTGTACCATTAGGTGTCTATGACCAAATGTATCTGTTGAGTGTTTAGCAGTGCAAAGTTTCGAGGTCACACCACTCTAATCTACACAACGTTGGGTACTATTGCCTAAATTAAGCATGTCTAAGTGTCCTAGTGTAGAACTCTGTGGATACACAAAGAACAGGGACCTTGACGGAGGTCAAGAAGATCGGAGCCCTGAAACTAACAAGCTGAAACTGTGACAATTTACCCAAGGTCTCGAAATGGATTTTGGAATGGTACTGAATCCACTAGGACACATTTTACTCATTCTTTTGTAAAATTCTGCACGTTTGCTCATCCTGGTGGGTGTCAATAGTTGCACCACAAATTGTCTGMCAATGTGCTGCAACTATTTTTGTAAATTTTCTTTAAAAATGTCATCTTAATGTTAATTATAGTTAAATCCTGAAGCTAAATTCAGATTACAGAGTGGGTTTTTTATAGATGGGGTAAATCACATTATTATAATTATTTTAATTGTTTTGTTGATCAAAAGCTGTTTTACTGTTAATAGGGACAAACTGGACTTTATATTATAATTATAAAAAATGCTTCTTTATGATGAGTTCAAAACTACKTAAAGTTAAAACATCTCATCAATTTTGTTTTCATTTTTTTGCCTGAAAATATTAACGGATATAAGGTGATTAGCTTATTCACTCATTTTTACTCTGCAAGATAGATMATATTTATTTGTTTAAGCAACGGTCCTCTAAGATAATTTATTAATTTTTTATCTATATATTTCTAGCACTTGCATCCAAAATACTTTTTATTTTATTGTTTTCAAATATGTGTGGGACTGTGATGCAGATACAATAAGCTTTCTACACTGGAATGAAAAGATGTCACTAGTTTTTAAAAGCCACTTGGAATTTGCACATACCGTACAGACTTTAAACTCCTATTTGCCTATTTCTAATGAGGAAAAAAAAAATGCCTCAAATGTGGTCCTGTTCTAGCTTAAATGTGTTTCCATTAACTGTTGTGGACAAAATCTGCATGCAACATGTATTTTAGTAAAAAATAAATAAATGAATAAAATAATTCTGTGATCATTTTTTGGCTTGTTTATTTTGCACAGCTGTGGTTTTTTTTTTTTCTTTTACAGATAAGACGTAAAGCTTTAAATGCAGCTGAGAATAGCACCTCTGTTTGGGAGGATTTCATTCCTTCAGCTGCCGGTAGAGGACTGCGGCGTGTTTAGGTTATGTTGAGGACTTCTGCTGGAAAGTGGTCTTGGGGGAGCCAAGTGGGACTGAGCAGATGTGCAGGCATTGGGGACAAATTAGGGACAAGCATTTATTTATTTATTTATTTATTTGTGTGTGAGTTGTTACACTGTCCGTTATTTTTGCAAAGCATGACATTGAAACAAATCTTTATCAGAACAAATAAACTTATCAATAATACATAAGAGTCACAGATGAGCATTTAGATTTTGGTGTAGAAACTGACAGCAGTATTATTTAGAAGCACAGACATTAGCATCTAGCACTTCCATTGAAATGTTTATTTAAGGAGGGACAGTGCATATTACAGAAAATGCCAGAATTAGCCATAGAGGGTAGTTTTCATCTGTAGTCCCTCAAGGTCCTATAGATATAAATACAATGGGTACATAAAAAACAAGTTACTTTCATTAAAAAAATACAAATCCTAAAAATGTGACAAAAAGCATGATTAAAAATAATAGAAAGTCATTTAGCACAACAACAATTCAAGGCAATACATTAAAAATACAAAACGGATAAAATAGTCTGTCTACAGAGATGATTATCCAGGAGCCATGATTTTAAGGCATTTGAGAATAATTTGAAGGATCCACTGGTTCTTATGCTTTCTGGTATTTGTTCTGGTGGTCCTTACCGACAACAACGTGACAAGTGCTTCAAATTGAGAAGGTGCAAGACCWTGCARAATTTTAAAAACCAGACAGATATTTACAAATGTGATCATATTTTCCCAACTCAACAAATGATGATTTGTTAAAATCTTACAATGATGGTATCCTACAGATTTTTTTTTWATCTAAGATCTTTAATGTCTGTTTATAAAGTATCTCCACAGGCTTTAGAGTTGATGAGTTTGCTTGTCCCCAACTTAAACAGTAAGTGGTATGAAAAATGATCATATAGCATTCATAAAAGTTTTTGCAGCCGAATTAGTCAAACTGTATCTTGCCTAAAATTTGCAAGATTAAATTGAAGTATTTTTGTTATCTTTTTGACATGAGGTTTGAATGATAAATTTGAATGATGAAAAATGATATGAGGCACTTCCTGCAGAAACACTGCAATATTTTTAATGAAAAAACTATGTGTAGTTGACTGCAATGTACAGGTTTATAAATAAACAGCTATGAAACATTGAAGATTCAAGTTTTAAGACGTTCCCGCTCAGACTAGCTGGTCAATCCAGTCAGAATTAAACTCTTTATTCAAGCTGAGTTCTTTCAAAGAGATGTGTACAAACTTGTTCACAACCTTTCCAGAACCCCTCTTTGAAAAATCTGAATTATCCTTTTAATAAGCTGTTTTCCAGGTAAAGGACCAAGAAGATGTGGCTCAGTTGATGGAGCTGTTACCTCTCAGTAAGCTGTCAGTAAGAAGGTCGCCCGATYGAATCCCAGCCAGGGATCTTTCTGGGTAAAGTTCCCATCATGTTTTTTCTGGCTACTCCAGTTTCCTCCCACAGACCAAAAACATGACCGTTGGGCCACGGTGAATCTAAATTGTCTCTAGGTGTGAATGGCTGTCTCATTTGTTTCGTGGTCCTGTGATGGACTTACGACCTGTCCAGGGTGTACCCCACCTCTCGCACTGTAACTGCTGGATCTGGACACCAATGACCCTGTAAGGAAAAAGCAGGTACAGAGAATGGATGACCAAGGTGGTACGTGTTCTTGTTGAGATTCATACCGATTCTCCTGAGGTTCTGCTCAGAAAAGCAGTTAAAGCAGAGTGGCTGATGAATGGATGAAAGTTGATCTTGCTGAAATTCATGATCATCAGTCCCTTAGGCCTAGTGTTGTGGTAGCAGTACAAACATTTACCAGCAACCTGGTCCTCATCTGAAATTACAAATCTTTAAAAAAAATGTCCTTATACATGTTTTGGTTTGTCCAAATTGCTTTGACATTCCCTAAAACTACCCAAACCAATGTATTTTTATAAAAAAAATGTTTCTTTCAGTCAAGGGAGCATTTAAGATTCTTTACAACCCTTTTTTTTTTTTACACAAATGAAGGAAATTTTCCAGTACCCATAGCTCTACAGACTTGGATCATTCGTCTCCACATCACTCCGCTGTAAGAAAACAGCTGAGTTTATCTGTGACMTCAGGTTCACTACAGCAGCCACAGCCTGCCTCTGTATTTTAKTACCTAGTCTGATCACAAATGTAATCCCTTAACTGATAGAATAAGGCAAAGTGTGAAGTATGCTTTATTAGATGTGGGGCTTGTAGATCTCCAATGTGCTTATCAGTTGCTTCCTCATTCAGTTTTTTTTTTTTAATTTATCACCTTGTCCAACTCCATTCCTCATGCAAAGGATGAATCATGTAGCAAAACCTGTTTTGCTTCGATGTTGCTGGGCGGTGAGGCAGTCGACACTTTTCAGCACATATGCTTCATCTGCCACTCCGATGGCACTTGGGAGTCCAGGAACCGAGAGGCTGCGGCGAGTGTTGGCGTCACAGCTGTTTCTTCTGTTCCCGCTAAGCGTGTGTGGCTTCCCAGCGGGCCCTGCTGCTGTTTGTGCAGCACAGGCAGTGCTAGACGCACGGCTGGGGGAGCATTGCCTTCCTTCGCTGGTTTACAGATGAAAAAGCCTTTGCAATTTAAGAGCAGAGTCTTTTCAGGAATGTAACTTAACTACAGAGCTACAAAATGTTCACGTGAAAATCGTTTTAAAGCTACATATGAGGGAAAAATGTAACTGTTCACAACGCACCACTGTGTCTATATTAATTGTTTAAAAATGCGTTTCTCAACAAAAAAATTGTAATTTACATTTTGACTATATATTCTGTTCAGCTGATGCTACGGTTATTAACAGGCTTTTTCTCAGCAATGAAAACATATATGTTATATGGGAGCTCAACCATAGTTGAAAATCTGATTTTTATGTGACATTCGAAACTGTGGCATGAACAATTTGGAACAATGTGATGATCAAACTTTTATAAGTTCCAAAATACACTCATTCACATGTCTCCAAGCTTAGTCGTATATGTAATACATAACTATTGTAAGATAAGTACAGTATACTGTATACCAAACAAAAGGAGTGGCTAATAGCTATAGGAGAGCTAAACCTCATTCTACATGAGAGAACAAGAGAGAGAAAGGAAAGATGGTGTGAGATGTGGTGAATATCTACACATTTGGAGTGTCAAGGGAGGGCTCGGATCTGCATGTAGTGGCTCTATTGTAACGTGCAATCAGACGTTCAAGCCTAGCCCGGAGAGACCAAACATATCGGAAATAGATTATCGCTAAGACGAGCGTTGAGCCGCAACTCAAAATTACCAAGGTTAGACTTAGGGTATCCAAGGCAGACCATGAGTATGTGATCGACTGAATAGGAACTCCAGCATGGGTGTTCAGWGTTTTGAGGACTCGGTCTACGGGTTCGACCTCTATGGTTTTGGGTCCTTCAAATTGGATTTGTTCAATGGTTWGGGAGTCTAGTTCCAAACTAAGATTTTTAAAGAGATTGGGAAATTCCAAACTGGCTTCAAATTGGTCAGGTTGGAGGTGATAAAGAGCAACGTCGTCAATGTGAACTACTGTACCTGGAGGAACATCAACCTACACAGTTTTTGCAGGCAGGTTGATCACCCTAGAGGTATCRTGTCGGTCATAGACAACAGTAGCGGTTCTTTTGGGCGTGTTCACTAACCATCGCGAACCAATTATCTCAGCTTGAGAGGTGACAACTTGGTGATGCGGATTTACGGTTGTTGAGCACTTTGAGCCTTTCTGTAAGGGTGTTAACCCACAAATACCAGCAGCTGTGTCCCACAAAAAGGGTTTACTGGGGCACAGATAGTGGATCTCGTGAGTGTGGAAATTAGTTAGTAACAACAGTCCATATAATGTATATAAGAAACAGTTGAAAGTCCAGTGGTACACAGAGTCAGTTATTTCAGAAACAAAGAGAAAATGAATCTTTAAACCCCCAACGAGTAATGGGTGAAGGGGTCTATATTTTAGATTTTGTCAGTAAGATGGCTGCCATCTTGAAAGCCACCACCAAACTGGATCAAAGTCAAACATTTTTCCAAGAGAAGAGGGTCATGTAGCATATCAAAGATGTCAAATAGATTGCTGCAGTCAGATTTGCTATACCGTTTTTGGTTCAAAAGTTCTTAACGTAGAAATTTGCGACAACAACTGGAAACGTTGCCTGTGATGCACAGCTGACAATGCACTGTCCCTGGTGTTGAACACAGACAGCGCACAACAAATGTTTTGAACTTTCTGTGTTGACAATGCTCATCTGATTGCAACAATCCATCTGAGACAATTCTAGTCTTATTTTATATATACTACATGACCTTTTTTCATTGCAAAAGCTGGATTTAAATCCACTATGACAGCTTTCAAGATGGCAACCATGTTATGGACGTAGCCTAAAAGATACGCCCCCTCCCCCACAACTGCGATTGAGAGGTTTCAAGTTCACATGAGTAAACTGTTCATCTGTGAAGACACTACTAATTCTGATCAATAGAATAGTTGTTTGTAGGATGTAATGGCAGAGCAATGTTTTTGTCAGGAAAGGCCTTGCTTATTTCAGAAAGACAATGCCACTGTCAATCCCATATCTATTTTTCAAAATCACTGAGCTTTTTTTTTCAACAAGGTTGCATAACTCATTTAAATACGCCATTTTCCACCTTTATTTCTTAATGCCTTCTCAGTTAGTCACTAGACATGGRCTTTTGTTGCATTTACAGAGTGAACATGGAAAATAAAGGTATTATTTTTCTCAAAAATGTCACCATGAGAAATGTTAAAAAAGAAAACTAAACTAGAACCAGAGAAATTGTCTTGCTTAGAGTGAGAAACGGTTCAAATCTGAATGAACAAAATAGGAATTAAATATCAAGAGTTAATAGAAACATGTCGAACATACAGCAGAAGTTGAGACAAAGTCATGGTAATATCATATTTGTCTATTTCTTCCTGTTGCTCCGATGCTTTTCATGTGAAATCCCACAAAGCAGTTCTRCAGAAACGACACTAATATTTGAGCCTCAGTGAGTGGGGAAAAAAAAGAACAAATAAATTTTGATTAGCTTCAGAGGAATGCACTCTGCTCTAAATGTTATCTGYTTAGTTCAGTTAGCTCAAGTTAAATTATTTGCCAGGCTGTTTTAGTATTTTTATCAGTGACCTTTAAGTCTCTAAAAAAGACCAACATTATTTTATTCATAAAAACACGAGTCAAGAATTCAAAATATTTTGGTTCAAAGTAAAACCAATCAAAGGAGGTTGCATAAACCTACATCGTTACATATTTGACTAATGAATAATGTTAGCTAGCATCTTTTCTTGGAGTAGATTGTTTTTTCGCAACTTTTAAATGAATATCTCTGTACATGTGCATAAATAAACAGTTTATTTCAAATATTAACATGGACGGTTACCTAAACAATGAGATCCAATTCGACAGCTGTGACTTGATTTTCCCATCTTTTATGTTCCAGTTACAAAATACAAAATCCTGTCTGATTWTTTAGATTTAAGTATGGGTACATGAAACTCCAGTTGACAATCTTTTGCACAAAATCAAAATGTAAATATTTGCTGGACTGCACCATWACTTTTAGCGAATCACTCTGTGCTTTGTCTTTTTAGTTCAGTTTTTAGCAKCTGACAAGATACATTCAGTATGAGTCATCTCGTCCCTTACTGTTGGTTTGTTTCTGTTTTTTTTTTTGGTAGTTTTTTTTTGTTGCAAGACAGTAAAATATAAGTTAGGCAGGCAAAGTTACATTTTTCAAGGTTTGTTTGAAGTATCTGTACACTTGAAGTTGCTCTCAGTTCAACTGTGCATCATCACAGAGTCATGAAGCTGAGCGATGCTTCGGAAAACTTTCTCAATCCGTAAAATGATCTGTTATTGTCTCTGACTGATGGAACAGGAAAGCCTGTACATATTGACATTGTTTCAGGTGGAACATCTCCATGAGCTGAAAAACAAAACATTTTGCCATTTTCCTGAACAATAAGTGAAGTAAGCAAATTTCCACATTACAAAGRAATGAAGTCAGTCAAATAAAGGAAAATACAGGAAGAAAATGCAGCACAGTGAAAGAAAAAAATTTAAGAAAAGTCCTAATCTTTGAACAGCCCTTAGTTCTGACCAAGCTAACTGCTSAAGTGTCGCCAAGACCAAAGTCAATCGATGCCATCCTAAACTAACTCCTGTCTCAACATTTTTATAGTAGTTCATGCTCACATTGTCTTATAAACTTTTACGCTGCTTTCAGTTTCACATTACACGSTTATTCTAGCAGAAATCTAAYATTCCCGCCGGAAGTGCTACAGCTAGCTACTGCTAATGCTATTTGCTCCAACAAATAATCATTAAATTTAATGTAAATAACTATTTCAAGTTGACAGCAGTGCAAATGTTAATATAATGCCATTCACATGAACTGCTTTAAAATTTTTGAGTTTGGAGTTGGTTTGAAATAGCATTTTAGTATTAATTCTACTCAGCTTTAAWCTTGGTCAAAACCAAACTATTGCTGTGTTCCATTCACCTCAGAAGTCAGAAGCTGTTTTAGGAAAGAAGGCCGACCCAAMAAAAGGAGCCCCGCATACTCTATCCAAAGCTGCAAAATCATCTCATTAATGTAGAGTGGCAACAAGTGTGTTATTTTATTCATAGATCAGCTTTGCCCGTCTCTTCCTGACACAAGGGCCGGGCTGGATTTTTTCTCAAAGGCGAATGCGCCGAGTATTGTGTGATTGGTTAGAAGTTTGTGGGCRTGCTTGTTTATGCRGAGAMGAGCTCAGACAAAAACGAAGAAGTCGGCTGTTATGTGTCCAAACAACATGGATAGTTTKGAGGAGCAGTTGTCCGAGGCAGTCAGAAAGTACAGCTCCTACAGACATTTATAGAGGTAGTCAAAAGGCCAAGAACTTGTTGATGGAATAACAGATATTGTTCATAGAGGAAAACATCTGGTGAAAACTGGGGTGCTCTACCCATGACAGATTTGTGGCCTAATGGGGAATTTCAGATTGGAGATTCCAGTGGGGGTGGGGGTGGGGGGGACTCTAAGCTGTGACTTGTACCGCAGCGTTAGAGGTATCCCAGGAGCTCTGCACCATTTGTCTCATGGGCTATGAAAGGTGTGTTTGAAAACACTCGTCAAGAAAGCCCGTGACCATGCATCGGCTGCTCAGCTTCGGATAGAGTGTGCTGGACACTTTAAACTTTAAACAGAAAACCAGCAGTATTTATTAATGGTTGCACGCTATGATTTGTCTAATTACCATTAGCATTCAACTCAAAAACAATGGTTTTGTCTGCAYTTAAACAAAATTCTAACATATTTATTCAGAGTGGATAACCAGTACATGTGTGACTAGTTTACTGAGCTACAAAGTGAAAGAAGGTAAGCAGAAATGATAATTACTGCAGCTATTACAACTTTTCAAATGCATATCAACCATACTGTATTTTAAGATCATGACTCGTCAGGAGTTTCCAACTTTTCAAGTTGAAATTTTGTCTTTTTTAATGTTCCTGTTAATTTTTGTCTTGGAGCTTGGAAAATCTTGCTCTGGGGTAATCAGTCCATCTTTGATATGTAAGATAATTGTTCATAACCTTTCCACATGCCCCACTTCAAAAGCTGTRAACTATTGCTTTAAGGGAAGAAATAATCATACTCAAATATTAGCAGGAAAAACTATTTTTTTTAGGTTTAACAAAAGAAAAAGACATTTGTTAACCCATACCCTAAGTGATGTCATATGACATTTGATAAACACTTATTTTTTTCTCTATTATTTCAAATCTAGTTTCCTCACAGTGTGTCCAAATCCAGTGACTTTTCCACTCCCTTCAACTGTCTCAAACCCCTGCTCAAGATAGTCTTCACACAAATGGCATCATTGACTCATGTTGTCAATACTGTCTTAGACAGCTTAAGACATTGCAAAGATTCAGTTTCAGATTGACACAGCCTTGTCTGCAGACTGCTGAGAGACCTTAAAGCAAGAGCCCAGCTGTACAGCTGCTGAACCGACCGTTTAGAAAAAAAAACATAAAAAAACCCCGAAACAAAACAATGGCTTACAAGGGCATTGCAAATCTACATAAGCCATAAAAGCCATGCCACATTTACACCCGGTTAGGGCTTATTCGCTCTTAAAGGGACATGCGCACAGTTTACAAAAAAGAGGAGGCAAAAAGACTGCAGGGTTGGGAAAGTCACTTTCAAGATTGCACCTGCTCGTTAGCTTCTTTTTGTAGCACAAAAATTATGCACTATTTAAAGTATTTATTTTTAATAAATATATGCWTTTCAGATCATTTACTTCTATTCGTTTATTCGTGTAAAACACAATACTTTTTTTCTTTTAACTAGAAGGAATGTTGTTTCTTTTAGAAACACTTGGATCACTGTAATGACTCCACAAGCGCTCCATTGTTCCCAACCCTGTAAAGCAGTGAGCGCAGTGGACCACATGCACATTATGAGAAACGTTAGGCCAGACACGCGGGCACTAACCTTTGGCTCTCTGTTTGCTGGGTACTAAACACCGTACAGAATGACAGGCAGCTGCAAAGGAAGGAGACTCACATGTCCAGAAAAAGCACCGTTTACCCAGTAAAGTTATGGTTTTACCAAAGAGGTGGTGGTGAGGGGGTTTCTTTTCCGCTTGTGTTTAATCAGTCAGAGTCCAATTTGTTCTGACAGCAGCTGATCGTTTTCAAACCTCTCTGTGTTTCTGTCACTCTGGTCAACTTAGATAGTCTGTGAACAACAGACAGTGAGCAGATGATTTTTTTCCACACTTGAGAGATATGGTCCTCTTTCTTTTCTTTTTTTTGAATATGTGGTAGAATTTACTGCGCAAAATGGGTATGCGCATATACTGGAAGCGTAATGTTGCAGAGAACATGCAAGTTGAGTATACAGCAGAGCAAAAAGCGATGTTTCCCCCAAAGTTGTTGATTTTTTTCTTCTTCTGCTTTGCGAAGGATGTTTGATCACTTCAGTTTGCATCTTCAAGCGCGGGACTCTTTCTTTGCATGTGGCTTGTTTCCCAGCAGGGCATCAATCTCTGTGATGGTCTGAGGGGTCATTTGGGACAAAATCTGAAACAAATGAAGACAAAAATAGAATTAGAGTTTGTTATTTTGAGCACATGCCGTTTGATTCTTTGTATACTCCACAGTTACACATATATGTTTATATTTTAAACAATTTTGGCTCATCATTTTGGGGTAAAAAAAAACTGATGGATACAGAAGGAACAAAACTTTTTACCTGAAGGGCACCCAGATTTTCAATAAGCTGCTCTGCATTTGAAACACCCAGAAGTACCGAGCTGACTCCTTCACTGCGCAGACACCAGGCTGAGAAACAAAACAAGGAAGTCAGGAGGTCAGATCAACAGGTTATCAATCCTTAAACACTATAGTTGTTAAATAACTATAGCTGATTTATGTCAAAAATCAGAAAATCATGTTAATAGAAAATGAACAGTTTGTTAAAATAAACTTTAAATCATGACTAAAGAGACTGGGATTTCTTCCCTGAACCAAAGTTTTAAACAAAACACTTATGTGGTCTTTTTGTCCTCAGACAATGGGTTGGGGATGACTCAGCAACTACTACTCCAAATTGTAGCTTAATACCTATAAAATTCAGACATATTTTGTGTTTACTAAGATGGATTACTTGAGATAGCTCTTCAGATTGACTCCAAAAGTGAAGGTTGCAGATGTACATGTGATGATTTCTTCTTAAGATTTTCATGAAAAGCCATGCACTTATTCATGAGATATTTTGCTAACAGGGGGGCAAACAAGCACATGTACACATATGCATTCTGCAAATTCACATGCAGGTGAAAATCCGTATGATAAAAAAACCCCTCAGAAGTGATAGTTTACAGTTTTTTCAATATTCAAAACAACAAACATAAAGATGAACTGAATGACTTTGATGTCTGTGAGAGGATCAATAAAGCTAAAATGTGTCAATATGTGCTGCATTTCAGATGCTATTTTAAGGGAGGGTGGAGCCACTTTTCACCAGGAAATTCAGAATGAAATGCAATGTCTAGACTTGTCCCACATGAATATATCTGTGTTTTTTTGTTACATATTATGTCTTGTGTTTATGTCTCATTATCTTACATTTTAGTTATTCAGTTGTGTTATGTTCATTTCTAGTCCCATTCTCCTGACGCCCTCAGTTCCAGCTCCTCAGTAATCCCTCCTCAAGTGTGCTAATTCTCACAGGAAGCTTATGTCATTCATTTAACCTTCCTGTTTATGTTAGGTCAGGTTAAATTCCTGGGATTCAAGGTTTGATTATCATCAATCTACAACTTGCTCACCTGCATTTGGGTATGCATTACTCAAATTCTTATGTAAATTTGACAAATAAAATAAAACTTGCTCCAAAGATGACCTGCAGCTAAAACACTCCAGAGCTATAACAATAGATGTTGGCTTTTTGCCGTGTCATCATTAAGTGTGTTTAAGAAGGAATTCAGGAAGGTCAAATCCAATCAGGATCATGAAGACATTTTACAGAGGATAGGCAGGGACTTGTTGTGGAGAGGCTATATGGTAACAAATATGAAATACTGGTTAAATATAAAGATAAAAAAATAAAACTCAGTTGGTTCTTAATGCATTAGACAAATTTTATKTTTGGAGTATTTTAAACAAGCAATAACCTAAATTTCTTCAATCTGAATTTCCAGTCACACAGTGATGAAATAACAACAAGCTGCATCATTTACCTATGGCTAACTGTGCAGCAGTGCAGCCCAGTCTGTCTGCCAGTAGATGGAGCTCCTTGATTTTAGCGAGCTGCCTACGACCCTCCTCACTGTTCACTCGCTCCTTCAGCCACTGGTATCCCTTCATCAGAACCAACGATTAAGAGAAATCAGATCCTGAAACAGTGAGGCTGATTTTGCGAGAGAAATCCCTGATGCCTGTCCGTTAAGTTAAACTGACCTTTATGGATGCTCTGGAGCACTCTGGAACCCCATCGCTGTACTTCCCYGTGATTAATCCACAAGCAAGTGGAGACCAGGTCATTGCCCCAACCCCTGAGAGAGAGAGAGAGAAACAGAGTCAGTGACTCAAATGAAGCTTCTGTTAAACACATCTGAGTGATTGAAGCTGTGGACGTCTGACCAATCTTGTGGTAGAGCTCAGGAAGCTGCACCTCGACTTTATCCCTCTGGAAATAGTGATACTCTGCCTGCTCACACACCGGTGGTATCAGGTTGAACTGACGTGCGACCGAGTATGCTTCCTGGTGCCAAATGAGAGAAACAAGATGGTTCAGATCTGCATTTATGCCACAAATCAAACATAGATTTGGATAGATTGTTCTTCACCATGATCTCCATAGCGCTCCAGCGTGAGGTTCCCCAGTACATGGCCATGCCCTGGTTTATTACAAAAGTCATGGCTCGAACAATCTCTGCATGAGCACAGTAAGTAAAAATTACAACTTAAACCCATCATGACAGCTTGTTTAATCATTAAAACTGACCTTCCATTGGACTGTTGACATCATTTCTGTTGGCAAAAACTATGTCCACATAATCTAGCTGCAGTCTTGATAAGGATCCTCGTAAACCTGCAGAAAAAGACGCTCAGTTATTTAGACCCAGTCTTACCGGATAATGTTCAGCAGGTGTAATCTTGGTGTGTCAGTGACTATTACAGCCTTGGTATGAAATAGGTGCATTTTCCAAATAAACTGACTACATAATCAGGATCAGTGAAATATGAATTATAATTATAAAATGCAAAGCATTTTGTTCAACCGTGACACAGAAACTGCTGCACCAACCAGCGTGAAAATTGGTAGGTATGTAGATTTATCCAACCTACACTGTGCCAGCCAACCCCTTCAGACTTCTGAGTTCTGGTGCAGTGGTGCTATGCATAAAGTATGTGCGGGTGGTCAAATATGCTACCGCTATGCAGTATCTAGTTGTATTACAACCTCAGTTCTAATGAAGTTGGGACGTTGTGTTAAACATTAATAATAGAATACAATGATTTGCAAATCCTTTTTAACATATATTCAACTGAATACACTAAAAAGACAAGATATTTAATGTTCAAATGGATATTTATTATTTTGTTGCAAATATTCACTCATTTTGAGTTTCATGTCTGCAACACGTTCCAACAAGTTGGGACAGGGGCAACAAAAAACACCTGTTTGGAGTGTTCCACAAGCAAACAGGTTAATTGCATTCCATTCCTAACAGTGTACCCAGACAGCTATATAAAGCTAAACTGTGTCAGCTCTTACTGAAAATCTGAAACTGAAGTATCAGTACAATCAATCAATACTGCCATTATTATCATTAATAATAAATATTCAGATCAATCCACTCAGCATTGGTCAGTGCACATCTTTGCAGCCCACCCAGGACCTACACAAACATATGTTTGATCATAACTCCCAAACATTTTTGAAGTAAGTTGTGTTTTACCTTCAATTATGTGCTTTCTGGAGAGTCCTCTTTCAGTTTCTGCTCTGTGGAGTGAAGAAGATGTGCATTATTGATGTTCCATTAAAACAACGAAAGTAAACAGGAAAGCAGATGTTTTAGTGTCATACTCACTGTCCTCCCCAATAGATTTTTGTTGTGATGACAAAACTTGAGCGTCTGTAGGGGACACAGGTAATGAGGAGCACATAGTTTTAACTTAAACATGGACTTTAACGTGGACAGGTTTCACATCTGCTGTTTGTTTCCCTTACCCTAATATAAATATATTTTCTTTTTCACTGGCACCAGTTGAGTGAGTCAGCAACCAGTTTTTTGTCTTTATGAAGTCAAAGCTATACTTTTCACAAGAGTGAGATTTCATGCTGATTTAGAATTTAAAATCAGTGCTGTGCTTATCAGTGATAAATATTTGATGTGGCGATGTTAAAAAGCATTTATAGTTTAATACAGTTGTCCCCAACCTTTTTAGACATGTGTACCCCCTGAGCCATTTTGTCATAGTGTGAATTTATTTATTTTACACACCTGGGAAACTTTTTCATTTACCTCCTGTAATGTGGTCATGTACCCCTGGTTGGGAATCACTGTTTAGACAGTGTGAAGGGCTGAAGGAACTGTCCAAGGTCCTGAAAGTGCTTGAACGTTTTAGAACTTTGGACAGTGTGACGGGTCGAAGGAACTGTCCAAGGTCCTGAAAGTGCTGGAATATGTCAGTACTTTAGATAGTGTGAAGGGTTGAAAGAACTGTCCAAGGTCCTGAAAGTTCTGGTATGTTTCAGGACTTTANTGAAAGTTCTGGTATGTTTCAGGACTTTAAACAGTGTGAAGGGTTGAAGGAACTGTCCAAGGTCCTGAAAGTTCTGGTATGTTTCAGGACTTTAAGAAATGAAAAGTTTTTTTTTTGTTCCATGCATGTGAGTCAGAAAAAAAAGAATCTTACCGCCATCCTTTCTTCTTGATAATGTTCCCTAGAGTGATTTCTGCTCTGTGGAGAAAGATGAATATTTGCTGTGATTTTTTTTTTCTGAACAGAAACGTGAACACATTTTAAAAACTTGCAAATGTGATGTATTAAGATCTAAAACACATATTTTTAATTAGTTAATTGGGGAAAGTTACATGAAAACTGAAAATAGAATAGTTTAATTATGTTTGAGAATAAAATCTAACCTTCCAGAAGCGTACACCTCTGCTGTGTCAAACAGATTCACTCCGTTTTCATACGCTATGGCCATGAGGTTCTCAGCCATCTGAGGGGAAGTTTTAAAAAAACACAGAAATAGTGATAAGTGATTAAAATGATCTAGAAATTATTTTTGTCAAATTTAGAAAGACTCATCATTAGCATTCCCTTGTTATGTCTTACTCTCTATCAACAACATTTTCATTTATTATTTTACGGAGATACATTTAACCACAWTCCAGCAAATCAGGTAAAAAGAAAGAAAACCCTCACTAAAAATCCAATTATTTGACTTTAAAATAAGAAGAGAATGTAAAWAAGAGATGAAAATCAATTCTCTGTAGGTTTTTCCACACCAAAATCAAAGATTACTGAAAAACTCAAACTTAATTTCCTTGGATTGAAAGTTGGCCAACTGTCATGAGAAGAATACATTAAGTACAAAGACAAAAGAGAAACCTTACAACTACTTTCCATTTGAAGTGTTAGCTTTGTGCCGAGATAAAATGTAAACAAGGGCCAGATTTGGCCCGTAGGCCTTGAGTTTGACACAAGTGCAGTAAAGATAGATAATATCTCAAAAAGCTGCTAACGTTTTCAGGTTTGTAGCATTTTGGAAGATTTGAATAACAGGAAAATTTTGTATTTTCAGTGCAAAGAGTTTGATCCCATAAAGCCCTCACCTCATCTGAGATCTGTGATCCAAACGTCACCCAGGTTCCTGGACAGGAAACACAAACAGCCCCACTGACTTTCAGAGTTTCATAAATGTGATTCCCACCCCCTAATAAATTCAACTCACCTAATCCGAGGCAGGACACACGTAAGCCTGATTTCCCAAGGTTTCTGTAAAGATAAAAACAAAAGTTTTTAAAAAATGATTTTAAAGCAGCTTTATCTTYTGTGTGTTTGAGCTTCATGTGCGTTTAAAATGGTTAACGTGTGTGTGTGCATGTGCGTGCGCGTGTGTGTGTGTGTGTTAGTTTCACTGTAAAAGCAGAAGTGTTTCTATGTGTGTGAGCACAATGTCAAAGAGGATATCAGCAACAATCTTAGAGAAGCTATAAGTCCTTCTGATTCCAAGCACATAGGCGCCTCTGAAAAACAAAATAAGAGACAGGGTTGAAGTATTTATATAGCGCCGGAACAGAACATTGCTATATGCTGCTTGTAAAGAGATTATCCCAAAATATCAAAATGATTCATTTGAGCAAAAGCAAAGAAGAAAGATATGACAGACGTCGTCCTTATGTCATCTTTCCTCAACTCTTTCCTGTCTGCCCTTTTCTTCTGCAGTAGTTTCCAGAATCCTGCAGCCAACATTTTTTCTAAACAATGATTTACACCAGGGTCATGTTTTTATTTATTTATTTTTTGCATGTGGTTGCATCAAATATTGTTTATTTAAGAATGTTTCTACATACGACAAAATGATGAAGGGAGTCACAAAGATCCGGCTTGTTRCTTTTTATCAATTTTCTTTCTACAAAGAAATGTCAAGCAGAAAATCCCAGGGATGAGAAGCAGCAGAGTCGGTCTGACCTAAGACTGTCAGAGTGTCTTTTTGAACAAAGCTTATCAGTAAGACACAGATAAGACCACCTGCCTCATTATAACTGAGAGGCCATATCACTGAGGAGGGCAGAATCAAACTGTGAACAGATATGTATACAGGTCTTAATGAGGACCTCTCAGAAAACCAGTCAGTAAATCTTATTCATGACACATAAATCGTAATTCCTGCATTAATGTAAAGATGTTCAGATGAATGGCACTGGCAAAATTTGTCTTCCTGTCAATAATATGCAAACATCCCTTTTTTTCCATTCTTAGAGCTGAATTTATACAGATGTTCACTTCAGCTATTTATTAAATGTCAAAAACGTGTCCTTGTTCAACACATTCAGAACCAATATATTGTATGATTCCTTTTGAGTTCTGATAGGTTTACATAAAAAAATTAGGACATCTTTTAAATTGATAAACTTGAGAGCAAGGACAATGATTTGCAATAAAAGTTTATTTTAGTGAAAACTACTTTTACAAAGCCCAACTTGTGTGTTATTCATTTGTTGGAGCAATTTTACTTATTTAGGGTTAAAAAGTAAGTTTGTTTATTGGATTCAAAGTAAGCTGGCCAGAGGCGCTATCACGTAACTTTTCATGGTCGGAGGGAGCAGCCATATTGTTCAGGGCGAGGACAACTCAACAGACAGCATTGTTAGCTGGTGACGCTGAATGCGGTAACCATGACACGTTAAATTTAGGTCAGCACATCAGTGAAAATCAATTTGCTATTGACAACCAATGTCATGTAATGATAATGTTTCTAACAGGCAGAAGCTAACCAATGAAAAACAAATATTTAGAAGAACTCTAACCATGATGAATTGTTCACATTGACAGGCTGCTTCCAATATGGCGTCATGCACGGACCACAGTGGTCTACTGTATATTCTGAAGCGTGTGTGACACCTCTACACCCCATTGTTTGGGTTTATGATTATTGCTGATTTTCTGTCCAGGGAGTGGGACCCCAGAAGAGGGAACAGCCGAAATAAAAAGCTAATTTGTTTGTTAAAATGAATTCTACTGTAACATTGTTTTTGGCTTTTAGTTTAGTTTTGTTAATTTAACATCTTTTATGAGCTCAAGGCCTTTTTGTAGATATTTAAGTTTTAGGTTTTTCGGTAATTCCTGCAATTTCTCTTGCATTTGCAACTTTATAGTGGAGAGGTGAAGAAGAGAACCCGAGGGTGATACAGGTACAGTGTGAGAGTTGTGTAAAAACAAAGTCCTGCAGATTAAAAGAAGACTTGGCTGTAAAATAAGCCGACAACATTTAAAGGTTTGTTTTATTAAAAGAAGCTGTTGTTCATTAGAAGATGCATTTTCTTTTAAGACCTGCTATTTCCACAGATCTAAAGACACAAATGGCAAAATAAAACAAGCGACAAAACAAACAGTAGAACCTTATAGCTGACATTGAATGTGTTCATGGACTCATCCTGCAGTCAGGTTTCTAAATGAAAGTCTCTTCTGCCTGTGGTTAAATGGTTCCCTAATTATTTCTGAATACCTGACCTTTTATCTATTATATGTTAACAGTTGTGTGTGTAACAGTGAGTCACTAAAACAGCTGGAGGGGGAGTAGAGATCAGYTTGATTAGAGCCCTGCTAAAAGCTTCTTTGGTCTGTACGGTAAATGGCTCAAAATGCTCCATAACCTATCGAGGAGTCCATTAGCCGATCTGCCACATCTGATTATCCAGACAGCTGAATTTTGAAAGGAGAAGTGGTGAGCTGCGTTTCCACGATGCAGGGGCTCCATTCTTGCTCTCCTCCTCATCGTCCTCCTCTACAGTGAAGCTGTCCCCCATTCTAATTAGCCAAGGAGCCAGCTGGAGGGGCAGCGAGAACTGCAGAGAAACTAACTGCTCGTCRTCTTTTTCGTCTCCAGCGCCTCTCCCTCCGTCTCAGCCTGTCTGCCTGCGTCTGACACAAACGGCCAAATGCAGACAGACAGACTGTCAAAGCATTTAGACACAACCAAAACGAGTCCTGCTTTTTTTTCCCCCAGTCTATTTTTAATGCCGGACCTTATGCTATTTTTAGATTCCTGCATATGTAAGCATGTGTGTGTGTTTGTGCAGTGTGTGTGGGGGGTGGGGAGGGGTGTTATCAGTGTTCGTGTGTAGCAAGCCACATGTGGGTGTCGAATGCAAATTGTTAGTCGTTACGTTAAACCCTGCCAAAACAGAGCAYAGGTGAAATGTCAGCGATGAATGTAGGAAAATGTGTTTACGGGGTGGGGGGCTGGCAGTGTTCGTTCCTTGTATGACGATCTAGCTCTTGTCTGTCTGCCAGTGACAGCTCTGCATGTTCACACTGAACACTGAGAGTAAAAGTACAAAAGAGACACAAGGGAAAACTATTTGATGTATAGTTAAAATGGGCAATAATGAAGAATTATGACCGACACGACTGTCTTTTTTTTCCCTCACTGGCCACTGCTTGTGTTTTGCCAAGTTGTTTCCTAATGGTATTTTCAGCCAGTGTGTTATTTTTTCCAAAATAGCACCTCCCACCCACCTAAGACAAAAAAAGAAAAGAAAACACAAGTAATGAAAGCAACTCAGAGCATCTCAGCATTTTTCTGCTGTAGTCTTATTTTGAAAGGTATATTAAGTGAACACTTTGGTCATGGGTGAGTACAGCTTTACTGCAAGACTACAGTATATGCAACTTCCTCCACACTGATTCATTGAACCAGTGACTATAAAGAGTTAGCAGAATTAGCAGCAGCACACGTCTCTGTATGCAAAGCTTCTGTTTCATTGTAGGGGTTTTCATACATTCTAATGACTGAATAAACTTTAGCTGTGTCCTAAAACATTTAATTCTCAGGCATTTTATTTTTTCAACTCAAATTAAACAAAGAAAATTGTTGCCTTGAAAATCAATAAGTAATAAACTTAATAAACCAGGTAATGGCAGATGCAAAAAACAGCAGCTCCCAAAAAACATTGTATTGTCCAAAATACCTCAGAAGCTCACCCAAATGAGCAAATTCTGTGAGATTCCAAGTTTTATACTGGATTCCATTTTGTGTTAGTTCYGTGATTCTGTCTGCAATTTCCACATTGCAGAAATCATAGGGCCCTACATTTCTCATTCCTATTTTTATATTCTTTTACACACCTGGGAAGTATTTCCACATACCTGCTGTAATATGCTCATGTACCCCTGGTTGGAAATCACTGCTTTAGACAGTGTGCAGGGTTGAAGGAACTGTCCGAGGTCCTGAAAGTGCTGGATTGTTTCAGGACCTTGGACAGTGTGAAGGATTGAATGAACTGTCCAAGGTCCTGAAAGTGCTGGATTGTTTCAGGACGTTGGATGGTGTGAAGGACTGAAGGAACTGTCTATGGTCCTGAAAGTTCTGGAATGTTTTAGGACCCTGGGCATTGTGAAGGACTGAAGGAACTGTCCAAGATTCTGAAAGCTCTACAATGTTTCAGGACTTAAACAACCATTCCCTATGGAAAGCGAGAAGTACCGAGCCGAACAAGATGGCTGTAAATGAGTGCTGCAGCTTTGTGAGACAAACTTAATTTAATTTGGAAGCCTTGTCAACACGGACTGGCTTCATTCATTTCCTCCGCTCTCATTGCTAAACTACAGGCAGACTAAAACAGCGCAGAAAATCAACGTCATGGTTCACACCTCCTCCTCCTTCGGTTTGCTTATTGGCCTGGTTGAAATTCTGCCGAGAAATCCATGTCGATGGGAGCAAGCCCAGATGAAGCAGTGAAGGGAGATTAGAATTTAGTAGAATTGCGTAAGAAGGCTATGTCGAAGGCTRTCTCATTTCATGGGCTCCTTCTCATGTGGTCAACCAATGTGGCCTTCAAAACTAGGGGTGGGTGATACTAGAAATGTTGGTATTGATCGATACCAAGTAAATGCAGGATTATTTTTGCCAATACAAATACAGACACTWGTCATTTTAATTGAATTAATTTGTGATTTTGCCTCAATTTAGTCAATTATGATAAAACACAGGACAATAGGCAAATAAAAATGTTTTTATTGACTATTAACAACAATATAAAACAGTGTAACACTACCTTTCTATTACCTTCTACTACACACAGTTGTTAAAGAAAAAAGTCCCTAATGCAAAATAAAAAATGCAACAACATGACAAAGACATAATTGCAACAATGTCAACATTGTTGAATAGGAGGAAGGGTTTTGGCTAATGACTAACTCCAAACAATTGGATACTGCACTACTGACTTATTATTTTATTTTATTTGTGAAAATTTAAGTCAGTAATGCAA